CGAGGAAGAAGTCGAGGAAGAGAAGGACAAGGACGAGGAGAACGAGGACACGGATGAGAACGAGGATGGCGCAGCAGAGCAAGCAAAATCGAAGAAGCGGCGGGAAGAGACAGGAGCTCACCCGGCCTCCGAAGATATTATTTGGCGCGCGGCGGGGGCAGCACAACAGCATGCGGAGAGGAGTAGGAGCAGCAGCACCAGTAGGAATAGGAAGAATGAGAGGAGGAGGAGGACGAGCCAAGAAGCAGGAGTACGAGGATTCGGACGACCATGATCAAAGAAGATGAGTAGGGGCGTGAGGAGGATGAGGATTGGAGATTCAGGAAGCGAAGTAGCAGCAACAGCAGGAAGGTGGAGGGAGGCGAAAAGAACTGGAGTTGGAATATGAGGGAAACGATAACGAGAGGAAGAGGAGGAGCAGGAGGAACGATGGAGCGGAGCACGATGACAAGGACGATGGGAGGGAGAACGAGGAGGGGAGAACGAGGAAGGGGACGGGGACGACGACGATGACGACGAGACGACGACGACAACAACGACGACGACGACGACAAGGAAGGCAACGAGGACGAGACCGGGAACATGGAGAAAACGGAAGGGGAGGCGGCCTCTGCAGGCATCAGGTCTGAGGTCTGCAGAGGTCCCCGAAAGACCCCCGAGGCCTTTTCTCCAGAGGCCCGCAAGGCGGTAAAAACACGCGTTTCTCTGTCAGTGGACAACCAACATATCAAAAAGAAACATCGAGGATCGAGGAGGACTAGCAGGGGCAGAAGCAGGCGGAGGGGAAGGGCGGAGGAGGAGGAGGAGAAGGCGGAGGACTGGAGGAGGAGGAATCCCATCAGCCCTTTCGGGCGCGAGTGGTTTAGATCTTGTTTTCTTCCATCCCCTCCCCCTACCACTCCCCCGATCCTTACTTCTTATGATTAAACACGCCCAAACCCCCACCTAGCCAGCCGATGACAACCCCGCCGTCCGAACTATCAAAAACAATACAAACTCAAATTGTTTCTCGCCAATATGTCGTCGAGCTGCGGAAAGTGCACCCGGAAGATGACGGAATGAACATCGCTTGGGTAACCCTAAGCGGGTGGTCGCGTCCCACCTATCAAAAAAAAAAAAAAAAAAAAATCAACGTTTTTCTCGACAGCATGGACTTTCTTGTCGCCGACGCTGCGAAAAATGTAGCAGCAATGGGGCGCGGCGCACATCGCGCGCGGACGCCTGGCCAACCCTACGCGGGACCCCCCGTCCCACGAGCAAAACAACACCGCAACGTCGACGTTTTTGTTGCCACCATGTATTTTCTCCTCGTCGGCGCTGCGAGTCGCGAAGCGGGAATGGGACGCCCTGCGAATCCCCAAGAGGCATTATTATTTTCCTCCTCAGTTTCTCCCTCCCTCCCTGCCTCCCTCCCCTCCTCCTCCTCCTCCTCCTCCTCCTCCTCCTCCTCCTCCTCCCCCTCCTCCATGCGCGGCAGGAGCGAAACGACTGGCAGTGCAACACGCGTGGCTGGAATGAGACGCGGCGCATTTCGCGCGCTGGACATGTTGTCGCCGACGATGCAATATGAGAGGCCGGAGCGGGGCGCGGCGTACATCGCGCGCGGTCATGTTTCTCGTCGACGTTGCTGAATACGCGGCTGGAATAGGACGCAGCTCATGTCGCGCGCTGAACGTCTAGCCGCCCACGATATAAGATGAGCGACAGGCGTCGGACGCGACGCACTTGCTTCTTATGTTGTGGGAGGGCGGGTGGGAGTGGACGGAGCCCTCTGGCTCATTCGAGCTGGTTAACTTGACCACCTACCCCTACCCCTCCCCCTACCCCCATACCCCTACCCCTTCACTTTCGGGGGAAGGGTTTACCCCTCCCCCTTCCCCCAACCCCTGGACCTGGAGGGGGGATTCGCAGGGTGCAGAGCGTCCAAAACGGCCTCGGCGAGGAAACCCAAATCATCGGTGTTACTAAGAGCTTGTAGTGAGGGCAAATTGACAAGCTCCCCTCCTTTGATCGATCTCCTACAAGATGGCCCCAACCCTTGGGAGCCTTGGGGTCCCAAGAGGCCCCCAAGAGTCGCCCAAGATGCCCCAAGAGGCTTCCAATAGACCCCCAAGGAGCCCCAAGAGGCCCCCCAGAAGCACACGACACGCCACAAAAAGCCTCGGAGAAAAGTCCATGATCACTGACGTTATTAAAGTTTTGGCACACTACGGCCTCTGGGGGAGGGAGCCCAAATTGAGAATCCCCCTGCTTTGATCGATATCCTCCAAGATGTCCCCAACATGGCCCCCGAAGCCCACAAGGGTGCCCCAAGAGGGCCCCAAGAGGTGCCCAGGAGGCCCCAAGGCCCCCCAGAGGCGGCCAAGATGCCCCAAGAGGCTCCCCAAGATGCCCAAAGAGGCCCCCTCGGAGGCACCCAAGACGCCGCAAGAGGCCTCGGAGAAAAGCCCAGAATCATGAATGTTACAACGGTCTTGGCCACGTTTGACCTTAGGGCGGGGACCCTAAGAAAGGAGTCCCCCTCCTTTGATCTATCTCTTCAATGATGGCCCCAAGATGGCCCCTGAAGCTCCCAGGGGTGCACCAAGAAGGCCCCAAGAGGTGCTCATGAGGCCCAAAGAGGCTCCCACCATGCCTCCAAGATGCCCCCAAGAGGCTTTCTAGCAAGAGGTTCCAGAAGGACCCCCAGAGGCACCCAAGACGCCTCAAGAGGCCCCCAGGACTGCCAAGAGACGCCCAAGACACCCCAGAAGGACTCCAAGAAGCTCTCGAACAAAAATCCGCTGTTACTCCGAGAGGCATCCAAGAGAACTCTGCCCTATCTGCTCGCCCTCCTCCTCCTCCTCCTCCTCCTCCTCCTCCTCCTCCTGCTCCTGCTCCTGCTCCTGCTCTGGCCACTGGTAATCATTATCGTCATGATCATCATCACCATCATCATCATCATCATCATCATCATCATCATCATCATCATCATCATCATCATCAGCAGCAGCATCATCAGCATCATCAGCATCATCATCCCCAGCATCCCCATCATCATCATCATCATCATCATCATCATCATCATCATCATCAGCATCATCAAAATCATCAAAATCATCAGCATCATCAGCATCATCATCAAAATCATCAGCATCATCATCATCATCATGAGCATCATCATCAGCATCAGCATCAAACACAGCAACATCATCAGCAGCAGTATCATCATCGCCGACACCAACATCAGCATCATCATCATCATCACCACCACCATCACCACCATCATCGTCATCATCATCAGCATCATCATCACCATCATCATCAGCATCATCATCACCATCGTCATCATCAGCATCATCATCCTCATCCGCATCATCAGCATCATCATCCTCATCATCATCAGCATCATCATAGCATCATCAGCATCATCAGCATCATCAGCATCATCAGCAGCATCATCAGCATCACCATAATCATCATCAGCATCATCATTATCACCATCAACAAAATCATCATCATAATCATCATCATCAGCAGCAGCATCATCAGAATCGTAATCAGTATCAGCATCAACATCAGATCCATCAGCATCGTCGTCATCATCATAGTCGTCGTCAGTACCATCACCCTTCTGCTCCTCCTCATCATCATCATCATCATCATCATCATCATCATCATCATCATCATAGTCGTCGTCATCAGCATCATCATCAGCATCATCAGCATCAGCATCATCAACATCATCCACACAATCATCACCACATCACCCTTTATCATCCTCCTCAGAACCGTCATCTTCATCATCATCATAATCGTCGTCGCCATCATCAGCATTATCATGATCATCATCATCATCATCATCATCATCATCATCATCATCATCATCATCGTCACCATCATCATCATCGTCATCATCATCGTTATCATTAAAATCAGCATCATCGTCACCATCATCCTCATCATCATCATCAGCATCATCATCAGCATCATCATCACCATCATTCACCTGCTCCTTCTCCTTCCTCCTCCTTCCTCCCCCGTCCCCCTCCTCCTCCTCCTCCTCCTCCTCCTCCTCCTCCTCCTCCTCCTCATCGCCCTCCTCCTCCTGCTCCTGTTCCTGCTCCGGCTCCTCCTCGAATTACTCCTCCCTCCTCCCCCTACTGGAGTAAGACATCTTACCCAACCCTTTATTCCACTGCAGTCTCCTCCACATCCCTGATCCGGGCAACTCGTCTAGGCATCGATCGTTTCTGGATGGGCTGGTGGGGTTACTTTTTTGGTCAGCGGCTCCAAGGCAAAGGTCAAGAAGCGAGTCAACAACGAACGGGGCGCGAACGAAGCAGCGTCTAGAATAGAAAGAGGAGGAGGAGGAGGAAGAGGAGGAAGAAGAGAGGCTTCGATATTCAAGGACGGAGGGTGCCGGACGATTTTTGAGCCCTTCTTGGGCCTCTAGGTGCCGCCAGGGCCTCCAGAGGTGTCCAGGGACCTGCGGGGACCGCCCAGAGACCTCCGAAGACCTCGGGAGGCCTCCAGAGAGAGGAGGGGAAATCGGAGGAGGCGGAGGACGAGGAGGAGCGGGAGCGGGAGCGGGAGCGCAGGCGACGAGGAGCATGAGAACGAGGAGGGAGGAAGGGAGGGGAGCGAGGAGGGAGCACGAGAAGGATGCTGCTGAGGATGATGATGCGGATGCTCATGCTGATGCTGCTGATGATGATGAAGTAATGATGATGGAGATGAGAACGAGGAGGGAGCGAGGGAGGAAGGGAGGGGACAGGATGGAAAGGGAACCGCCTGCGCCCGTGGAGAGGCGCACGGGTGATCCAGGTAATGCGTCAGCAAAGGGCGAAAGGGGCGCGATGATGACAAGGAGCCACAACAGATGTGAGGAGGTCCCTCCTGAGCTGAAGACCAACGGGGCAGTGGATTGCGAAAAACATCGCGGGAACAATCGCGAAAGCACAAGAAGCAGTGTGTATCAGATCCTTCTCCTCCTCCTCCTCCTCCTCCTGCGGGCAGACTTGCCCTGGCCGTCGAGAAAATCCAGCAGTGCCCCCAGCGTGGAGTTGGTGTAGATGTCGAGGACGGAGACAGAGATCCCATAGCCCTCAGACAGCTCGTTTGCGATCCTCGGCGGGGCGTCCGCGTGCGAAGATGCCCCGCTGAGGGCGGCCGAAGATTCGCGGCTAAGGGGGCAGAGGCCATGGACCCCTGGGAGATTGGCTTCCCTCCCTGCCCTGCCCAGCGCCGCCAAACGTCCCACCTCGCCCGACCGCGCGAAGAGAGTGCTTGAATGCCGCTCGGGTTAATTTGGTTGTCGACATGAGGCCTGCCGCAGGCCTCGTGCGATCTCGTTGGGAGCCTCTTGGAGGCCGCTCGAGGGCCTCCTGGTGGCTTCTTGGGGACTCTTGAGGCCTCCTGGGGACTTCTTGGCACCATCTTGCTGCCAACCACGGTCGGCTTCAACGACCGCGTCACGATTTGGAAAGCGTTGGGGGCCTCTTGGGGCCATCGTGGGTCGCCGGGGGGACCCCCTTAGACCATATTGATCCGTCTTGGGGACATATTAGGACGCCACGTTAGGACACCAACAAGTACCAAGCAGTACGAAAATTAAGAAAAACAAATAGCGCGTAATAAATCATGAGCCGTGAGTCGTAAGCCGTAAAGCAGAAGCATGAAGCAGTAGCCGTAGTCGTAGTAACAGTTATTCGTCGTAGTAGTAGAAATAGTGATAGTAGTCGTAGTAGAAGAAGTAGTGATAATAGTACTACGGCTACTACGACGACTGCTACTACTACTACTACTACTACTACTACTACTACTACTACTACTGTTACTACTACTACTACTACTACTACGACGACGACGACAAATCACTACGACTACTACTACGACTACTACTACTACTACTACTACTACTACTACTACTACTACTACTACTACTACTACGACTACTACTAGTACTACTACTACTACTACTACTACTACTACTACTACTAGCTGCGGTAGTACTAGTACTACTAATAGTAGTCGTAGTAGTAGTAGTAGTAGTAGTAGTAGTAGTAGTAGTAGTAGTAGTAGTGATAGTGGTGGTAGTAGTAGTAGTAGTAGTAGTAGTAGTAGTAGTAGTAGTAGTAGTAGTAGTAGTAGTAGTAGTAGTAGTAGTAGTAGTAGTAATAGTAGTAGTAGTCAGCCAGTCGTAGTAGCAATAGTAATAACAGTCGTAGTCGTGGTACGAATGATAATAATCGTCGTCGTCGCCGCAGTAGTAATAGTAGCCGTAATAATGAAAAAATCGTAGTAGTAGTAGTAGTAGTAGTAGTAGTAGTAGTAGTAGTAGTAGTAGTAGTAGTAGTAGTAGTAGTAGTAGTAGTAGGTGTTGCTGTCGTTGTACTTGTACGTGTAGTTGTAGCTGTAGTTGTAGTTGCTGCTGTTGTAGTAGTACTAATAATACTGATAGTTTAAGCAGTAGCAAGACATGACGGCGGTGGAAATATTAGAACCCCCACCTCATCGCTCATCCGCCTCCCCCTCCTCACCCTTCGTGCAACCTCAGCGCGAGCCTCCATCCTTCTTTTCTTCATCATCATCATCATCATCATCATCATCATCATCATCATCATCATCATCCTCGTCATTATCACCGTCATCATCATCGTCAGCAGCATCAGCAACATCATCATCATCATCATCATCATCATCATCAGCAGCAGCAGCATCATCAGCATCATCATCATCATCATCATCATCATCATCAGCATCATCATTATCACCATCATCATCATCATCATACCTTCCACCTCCTCGTCCTACTCGATCTTGTCCCCTACTGAACCGAGGGCTCCACCATGCCTGCCTAGGCTGGCTCCTGGAAGCCAGCATGGAGTGCCCGCCGAGGTCGAAGAAGTTCTCCTGGAGGTCCAGGGACTGCAGGCTCAGGTGCAGGGTCTCGCCGAGAGTGGGCGGAAGAGGTGGATGTTGTGAAGGGGAGGCCAGGAGGAGACGGCAGAGCGGAGACAACGATGAGCACGGACTCGGATCCAGACAAGTGGCCCGCGCTAGGGCGAGGGCGCCATTCTGACTGACGGGAGCAGCGCGCCGATCCCAAAATGATGCCAACGCTGCAGCGGGAGCACCACTCGAAAGGACCAATGAAAAACAATCGGGCTGAAATATACACAGAAGCATAGAAACGTTTGAAATCCTGCGTGTGCAAAACAGTCCGCGGACAGGGACGAAAACTGCGGGGGCAAGAGCCACAGGAGAGTGGACGATAGCATTCATAATGTGAATTTGTGGACAGCAGTGACGTAAACACTACAGAAGGCGATGGGGGTCACGACGGAGACAAGCAGCAGGTGTTCTGGAGCCTCCACGCAGGCGCAGGGACGGGTGAGGGGGCGTCCCTCTGCAGTGCGACAAAAGGGGGGGCCTCATAGAAGGAGAGCGCGCCTCGCACAAGAGATAGACTCCAGACAGCCAGTTCGAAACCACTCGAGAGCTTAGCATATCCTGCTGCGCAAGGAAGCGGTGGAAGGGCTGCCATGTGAGGCCACGAGGCGCGCGACGCCACGGGTGGAAGGGGAGGAGACCGTCCCCACCACTCCCCGGACGTCTCCCGGGGCGAATCATGGTCAGGATTCCGAGGCGAGTCCGGCCCTACCGACGAGGGCCCCTCCCCCCCACACAGGAAGCCCGGGCAGGCGACGGCAAGGAACCCCGAGATCCGATGCGGCGAAAGATTTACAGCATCGCGAAACGTTACCACCAGAGCCCAAGACCCCCTCTTTTTTTTCCGGTGGGCAAATCCGCCTTGCCCTCCAGGTGCCTCTGAATCCAACGCGGTGACCAGACGAACAATCCGCCGTCACCTTCGCAGTCGGATTTGAAACTCCGAACAGCCACCACTTCCCCGGACAAACGCGATGTGTGTGTGTGCTCGTGCGCAACCCTGACGGTTGCCAGTCGTTTATATACGGCAAACGATCGCTCCAGACTCACGCCGGTGGGAGGGGGATGACGGGGATGAGCGCGGAAGTGGAGCTCAAACAACGAGTACACCCCGGGGCGCACCGAGAAACCTTCAAAGAGCGGCACTACGCATCGAAAATGTAACTACTTTCGCCCCTCGATTCGGCAACCACCCAGCATTGAAGCTGTCACGGGACACAGTGCGCAGCGGTTCACGGCAGGGTAGGCCAGTACACCGCCAGAGGAAGGAGGCGAGACAGGGCGAGGGAAGAAGAGTAACAGTGACATCAGCGACGGCACAACAAAAATGTGCAGCAGATCTGACCCGCGCTAGCTGCACAAACTCAAAAATATGGTGGCATGACTGGGCGAATAACGCACACCAGCGAACCGACGAAAGCTGAGTATCTACCAGACGAGAGGCGGGTGGGAGCCTACCCATCGCTGGCTGGAGCGCGAAACGTGGCGCGATCAAGGGGGACGGACGGGCAAGCCCAGGACAAAACCTGAGTTCGGCCAACAGCGGCCGTCAAGCACGCTACACGGCAGAGGCAAGCGGCGGGCATCCCAGCCACACCAATTAAGGAGAGCGAGGGGGGCGGGAGGAGGAGGAGGAGGAGGAGGGTGTTCTTCGCTGCATCGCTGCCGAAGGCCACGGATATTCTCGTGTAGGGTGCTCGCGTTCTCTACAACATTCGGGGCACCCCGAAGATCCAAGAAACGAGTTTGGAATCCGCGCGGCACACACACGGATCCTGCTGATTAAGTGGGGAGGGAAGAAAGCAGCGCAGGGAACTTAAGCCAGGATGGTCCTTTCCCACGCAGACTGCTACAATGATGTGCTTATGAAGATCGTTGCATCTTCTTCGCCGCATCGCTGCCGAGGGCCACGGATATCTTTGCGTAGATTGCTCGCGTTCTCTACAACATTCGGGGCGCCCCGAGGATAAAAAACGAGTTTGAAATCCACGCGGCACACACACACACGGATCCACAACCCAGCCGACGGCACACTCAGTCATTGGCCCATTTTTGCAGCCGAACAACAACAAACAAACCCGAGGAGCACGACCCCGGAACCCGAAACGAAGTCCCTAGGACCAAAACCAGACTACTAGATATAGGAGCGTACTTTACGGCGACGCTGGTCGAGGAGCGTTCGCTCGAAACATCCGACAGGCCTTCGGCACAACTTCCGAGGATAAGCCTCAGCAGGTTTGGTATAGCAGGTTCCTGCAAGGTTCTTGCCTTCGAATTACATGTGGGGAATGCCCGAGAAACACACACACACACGCCACGCCCAGAGCACCGTTTGGTCGCGGGGCCGAGGTCAACATTCACAGCTCGGAATCTGGTGCGTTTTCGCCAGGGCAAACCTTCGCCACAAAAATCAATGTAAAAGTCACGAGCGAGGACAGGAGCAGAGGAGGTCGACGACGACTGCAGAGGCGGGAGGCGCAACGCAGGGTGTAGCCACACACAGTTATGTCCGGGGTTCTCGACCACGGCAGGGACTCCGAGCTTCGAAGCCTGTCGGAGGAGTCCTCCACAAAAAACTGGCAAGGGCGCTGCCAGTTCTCAGGGCTTTCAGATACCAAGGCTTTCTAAATACCAGGGAGCCCCACAGGAAACGCGGAGTTTCTCAGGGTCGCGGGCCCGTTGGGCCCGCGACGAGCCGCGCTGAAAACTATTGCGAGGCGAACCGATCCACATGGCTCGCAACGAGCCGTCCTCAGGACGGGATATCAAACATTTCTGAACACTTCTCTTGGACAGGTCGTGTTCACTACCATACCTCAGATGAAACTCAAAGATCGGGATCTGCCTCAACCTCGGCCGTTGCCTCCACGCTGCGCCGAGGCGGCCCGTGCCGTAGAACAGCTTCACAACGAAGCCTCGGCCTCTCAGGAGGCCTGCCCTCCAGCGTCGCATCAGCTCGGCAGGAGCCACGCGGAAGTCGACCGCTCGGCACCTTCGGCGGCGCGGCGCGCCGCCGGCGGCAGCCCGTGCAGCAGCTGGTTCACCCTGCCGCCCTTCTTGTACCTCACCACCGACCTCTCGGCGAGCCACCGCCCGCGGTCCCGGGCGCCGCGCAGGTCTCGCGCCCCGACGAGCGCGTCGTGCGAGGCCCCGCCGTGCCTCGGCATGTACAGCACCGGCATTGCCTCTCCCTGAAGGCCCACGGCCTTGGCGGCGCTCTCGAAGCTCGTCGCCCACTCGCGGTAACTGAACGGGAACGCCAGCGCCTTGCCGCCGCTCCCGCGGAGCCGCCGCACCAGCGCCTCGACGAACGGGAAGACCTCGGCGTTGTCCACGACGATGCTCTCGTCCCTGGCGCCTGTCTTCGAGGTGATCACCAGCTCCTGCGGGTGAAGGATCGCATTCCACTTCAAGGTTAAGCGGCGACAGCCCCCAGCTGGCGGCACTGATCCTCAGCACCTCTCACGGCCTCGAATAGTGGATGAAGGCGAAGACGACGGCGGCGCCCATGTGCCAGCCCGCCACCTCCACGAGGCGCTTCGCCACCATGAAGGCAGCAGCCCACGGCAGCGGAAGGCGCGTTTGCGGCGGGCCCGGCTTCGCAGAGCCCCAGCGGGCCACCTGCACCCGAGCCAGGTTGACACACCCAGGACCAGCCACAGGACGATGATACGCGATCGCAGCCACCATCTTCGACACCGCGCTGGACCTCCACCTCCAGGTCCGCGATGCGCTGATGTCGCAGCAGCCCCTGCTCTCGGGCCCAGGCCACGAACCTCTGGCACCGGCCCTAGCACTCCGACTCCTGCCGCACCGACTCCGGGCGTCGGCTGCACGTACGAGTGACCCTGGGCAAGAGTGACCTTTGGTGCGCGGCTTTTTGGGGGGCGCGAGGAGGCCAAACACAAGCGCGCAAGGCGCTACTATCGCAGCGAGCGCGGCGATCGGGGGACCCCAATGAGCGCGCACCAAAGGCCACTCCGGCGAAGGGTCACTCTTACGTGTAGTCGAGAGCGGCGCTCCGGCAGCGCGCGGCCTGCCCGAGCCGGCCCGGGGCGAGCCGCTGGGGGCGCATGGGCAGCGCGCCCCCCCGCTGCGCGAGCCTCGCGGATCGGGCGGGGCTCGCGCTTGGGCCGCGGCCTTCGCCGCCCGCTCCCGGGGAAGGCGGTCGTGGAACTGCAGCGCGTCGGCACGCTCCCGTACATGGACCATAAGTTCGAACCCGTACACATTCGAGGGAGCTTCTAAATCACCCCGCGCGCCCCCGACAACAGTGTTGATCTCAGTAGAGGCGGTGCTTCGGGGTTCGAATAGTTCTGTCCACTCACGCCCCCCCCGTCGCCACGCCATCTACATAAATTTCGGGGGGGTGGGGGGGGGCATCTTGGGCCAGAGGATTCGAATCTAATGTCCACGCACTGCCACCTCGATCGCCGTCGCCAGTCCCCACGGGGGATGCCCTCCGCCAGGAGGGTCGGGCGGCTGCCCGAGCGGGAAGCGGCCCCCACGCGACGCGCCCGGGCGCCCCGCGCCGGCATGCTGCGCACCAGCCGCAGCGGCCCCGGGCCCCCGCCAGGCGGAGGCGCGCAGGTGGCGGCGGCCTCGCGAGGCCGCGTCGGCGGCGCCCCTCTCCGGAAGGGCACCCAGCGCCACGCGGGGTGCAGGTTCGCGCCCAGCACCAGCGCGGCCGAGCGTCGAAGGGCGCGACGGAGGCCAAGCGAGCCCCCGCGCCCCCTGGTCCGAGGCAGGATTGCGGTCGTGGCATCTCCGAGGATCAGGTGGCGTCCCCCATGGGCAGCTGAGGTCCTGGCCGGGTGATTCGGGGTCCAGGTAGCTGAACGAGACTCCAGATGCACTTGGTGATCTCCAGAGGCCCACCTGAACGAGGCCACTCTACACCAACGACCACCCCAGTCACGTTCAGGATCATGTGGAACCTGGTCGAGTCCCTCATCCCCATCACCCAGAAATAGATCTACCCGAGGATCGTGAAAATGAGCATGTTTGTCTTGTTTTACAAACCTCCATCGGTCGTCGTAGGACCCCAACATCTGAACGTCGTTCTCGTCGATAACTTTGCTCATCACCCCACAACCCCAAGACGACGCGTCAAACGCGTGGACATTAGGGTCCCAACTCGCACAAAGCCCCCGAGAAGCCACGAATGCGAGGGCGGCCATCCAGCGAAGCTCACGCATAACAGACGGCCACAACGAGGAGCGACTTTTTGGATACTGCTGGGCAAAGGCGAAGCAAACCTGCGGGGCCGCAAGCACCTCCCTCCGAATTAGGCCCCGCGTCGTGAAGTGCCCGAGGAGCACCGAGACCTCTCACCCGCTGGCCCTCCCCGGGCTGGCCACGCGCAGGAGCGCCAGGCGGAACCGCCAGCCGCTGCGCACGGACATCGAGCAGCAGCCCTGCTCGGTGAAGTGCCAGCCCAGCGCGTCGCCGCCCTGGCTGATCTCCACCTCGTGCATCGGCAGCCCGGCGGCCACAAGGCGCCCGCGAACACGTCCTCCACCACGGAGCGGTCCCTGGCGAAGCACGCGAAGCTGTCGACGCACTCC